GTACACAATCTTCATTCGGATCATGTTCCTCCCTTTTCTCTTTGTTTCCAAGACATACAACAAATTATTTATTCTTCTTATATTTTAAGTCATAATCTTCCACATGCCAGAGGTATTACCAGATGGGTTATTAGGTATCAAACATACTGACACTGGTCAACCTTCACACAATATCTTAAGTTAGAGAAGATATTGATTAGGTTACCCACATCCTTGGACCAAAAATGCCATTCCATGCTAAGTATAGTACTGTTCAGATAAGACACATTTTAGCCAGTATGCCATTACTTCAGCTAAATCCCAGTTTATTTCAGGAGGGCTCATGCTGTAGTAAGAGAGCTAGTATTTCTAAACAATAAACAATTTTGGAAGCCAACGTACTATTGATCACATTTCACAGAAATATATGAACTATACTGAGACATCCTTGGGTTTTCTTGCATTGAAGACACAAAACTTACACAGACAGTAATACCCAGGTCACGCAGGAGAATTCACTGAAGAAAGCAATTATGTTTGGAAGAGTTAGCGGTAAAAGGAAACCAGGCCACCAAAAAACACAGTTGTTGGAACACTAGCAAAGCTGACAGCAGCCAGAGCATAGAATAAGTCAAAGAAGAAGTGCAAAATTGGAAGGTGTGGACAGACCTGGCCCATAGCATCGCCAAGAGGTAGACAAGACTCAATGGATAACATCGTCGTTATCACCATCTCCAAAACTGGATTGCAAGCCCTTTTTTGCATTCCTTTAAAATCACATGGCAATCAAACTTCTAATCTTCTCAAATCCAGCTCTTCTAAATGTCTAGATGAGCCAATCGCAGAAACCCAGCTCAACCGATGCCCCGTTATATGACAAATCCAATCTTGGCACTGATCTCTAGATCTGTTTTGGATTGCTTCTTCTTCGTTTAACCAAGACAATGGGATGTTCTTGCCAAAAATTCCCAACATGAAGAAAATAATATCCTTCATATCATCCCCACTCTTGTTTACACACTGAGATTGCACAAAGATAACCTGGAAACAAGGAGAAGCTTTCTGACAGTGAGAATAACCAACCAATGGAACAGCTTGCCCTTGGAAGAGATTGGACTGCCATTTGTCAGAAATGATATAGGGTCTCCTGTTTGGGCGGGGGGTTGGACTAGATGACCTACAAGGCCCCTTCCAACTCTGATTATCTGTTATCTGTTATAACCTATCCCTTCCTGCCCTCCCCCCCCAAAAAAAATACCCTTCACAATTTTTTTTCAAGCGTTACAGGAACTATAAAATGAGATGTTGGCTCCTAAGCGATAGCATGTGTCTTCCATCAAAATGGTTTTAGCACACGACTTGCTAAGCACATGCTCGTCTGTGGCTACATCTGGACTCAGGTAGATACTTTGAATGTGTATCCCATGGAAATATGGTTTCCATTGGCTTTGTAGACAATAACGGTGTTGTGAGTCATTAGTTTCCACTCACAGAGCGAGGGTTTAGGGCAGCTCCAATAAATGCTGAAAACAGAGAATGCATGTCTCAACTTTTCCTTGCAGCCTCACCATGTCCTGTCTTCTTTGATTTTCCTTCCACATCCAAGATAAAATAATAATATCTGACAAGCTATTTTTCACAGGAGCAAAAGCTGAATGGATACAACTCTGTATGTTCTGAGACCATAAAAGGACTTCTCATCTTACCAGAAGTATTCCAACGTTGTTCTGACGCTACCAGAAAAAAAAGTCCTTCGTTTAAAATGTCACATTTTATCCTCTCTGGAGCAATTAAAAAGGGTCAGTTTTGATGTCAAAACGCTTCTGGTAAGGCTGGAACAACAAACAATGATCTTCCAACAAGATCAGAATTATCTGAGGATCAGAATATGCCTTAGAAAGCAATTGGATATAAAATATTTATTTACCGCAACCCTGAAGTCAATATAGGCAAAATTGTTGAAGTGCCAGTTGTGTCAAAACAATCTATCTCTGTGACAATTCAGTCATTTAGCATCTAAATTGCTGGCAAGTGCTCTGTAAATATTTACTTTTTAAAAACATTTACATAAATGTTGATGAAGCTTCTTGGATGAGAAGTGAAACATCTTCTACCTCAAGAGAACAGGGAAAGAAAAAGAAAAACCAGCCCCTTTGGCCTTTTGAAAAAGCACCTTTTAGACTTCTCCATTGTCAGTGAAATGATAATTTCCAGAAATGATAACTCCCAGCAGCTGAAGAAGGCATCAGAAAGAAAATTAAAAATTAAAATTTAAAAAAAAAGTTTAGAAAACAACTCCAACCAAATACTATTATCTGTTTAGAAGCAAGAAGATCTTGCTTCTAAACAGATAATAATAGTTCAGCTGCTGATACAGGTAGTCCTTGAATTATAACAGTTCATTTAGTGACTGTTCAGAATTAGAATAGCGCCAAAAAAGTGACTTATGACCGTTTTCACACTTACAACCATTGCAGCATTCTCGTGGTCACGCGATTAAAATCCAGACCCTTGGCAACTGACTCATATTTATGATGGTTGCAGAGCCCTGGGCTCATGCAATCCCCTTCTGCAACCTTCTGTTGTGGTTAGCCGGCAGCAAGTACAGACGGCTGAGGAGAGCGAGGACTCAGATGAGGGGCCAGGACCATTAGGGAGTGGACTGCTACCTTCAGAGATTGTGGGGGCTGGCAGCAGCGATGAGGAGGTTCCCGAGGAGCCTGAGCCAAGTGTGCATGCGTGCAGGGTTGCTCGTAGAAAAAAGCAGTTACAGCAGCACAGGCGACTCGGGAGTAAGGCTGCAAGGTAGTGGCCCCTCCCTCAAGAGGATAAAAGCCAGGTTTGAAGAAGCGTTCTTTGCAGACAGCAAAGACGCTCTGAGACTCAGCCTTGTGGACATCATAGTTAGTATTTGCAAACTCTTGTAAATTAGTTCTTATCTCTGGGTTTTTGGCAGCCTTGACAAACAACTTGGCAAGGCTCTTTCTTGTGGGAGCTAATTAGATGGAAGCAGCATTTTATCTGTGAAGAAACAGAATTCGTAGATTAAACTTTAAAAAGTGGGGGCTGCTGCCTTTGTCTGGTGTTTGCTCTCTAGGAACCTGGTTGGGCTAGAATACCTTCCGACAAGCAAAGTCAATGGTGGAAGCCAGATTTGCTTAACCGGTATTCCTCACTTAACAACTGCGGTGATTCCGTTATCAGCTGTGGCAAGAAAGTTTAGTTTACTTTATTGTCCTTGCACCTCGTAAATGAAATTAAATGCCCTCTTCAGTGGACATGATAAGTATAAAAATAAAACACAAACACGCATCCTTCACATTCTATACAATTGAAGTAAAAAAAAAACCTGATAATTGCATTAATATTGCGCTACACAGTAGAATTCAATAGAGTTATTGCCAGGGGTGGGATTCAGCTGGTTTGGGTTGGTTTGGGTGAACCGGATGTTAAATTTATATCTGGTTCGCCGAACTGGTAATTGAACCGCCCACCCCACCCCACCCTTCCCAGGGGTCCTAGATGCAAGTAAGTGCAGGGTCCCCCCGGGGGCTCTGGGAGCGGAAAAAACAGCGTCCCCCCCCCGGAAGTTCCAGAAGTTTGGAAACGGGCCTGTTTCCGGCTTCCAGGTGGCCTCCAGAGCCCGGGGGAGACAGTTTTTGCCCTCCCAGAGTCCCAAGGGAAGCCTCCAGACTCTGTGGGAGGTGAAAAACAGCCTTCCCAGAACTTCCAGTAGGCCACGTCCACCATGGCCACCCAACAACAGGGCAGAAACTGGTTGTTGGGGTTTTTGAATCCTATCCCTGGTTAATGCCCTGGGATAGAAACTGTTTTTCAGCCTATTTGTCCTCGTTTTTATTATCCTGTAAGAAAGGTCATATAATGGGGGCAAAACTCACTTAATAAGCGTCTTGCTTAGCAAAAGAAATTTGGGGCTACATTGTGATCGGGGGTTCCCTGTATTCCTGGAACTCCACCCCCTTCGTCTCAGTACTGTTAAAGTCCGCCAAATAATAGTTGGCGAGTCTCACGCTTGGAAAGGAATTGCTTTTGGTTTTCAGCAACTGCAGAGATGTATGGCTAGATATTGCTAGTAGAACAGAGGTGGGCTTCAAATTTTTTAGCAAGGGGCTCTCTGCCCTAATGACTGGCTGGGTGGGCTTGGCTGGGTGGTCATATGACTGGGTGGGTGGGGCCAACTCAACGTCGCTTCTTTGTTCCTAATTACCTAAAAAAAGATATAATACTTAAATAAAAGACTGGGTGAAACCAGGCTTAATAGCAATGACTGTGAGAGGGATCTTGGAGTCTTAGTGGAGTTTCTGGTGAGTTACATGATTCTTATTATTTGGGAATTAATCCCCTCAGAGGCTAGTGGCTATGTGATCTGATTTTCTCCATGGCTGTCCCTCTCGAGTGTTGAGTGGATTGTTTATCTAGCTTGCAACACTTTTACGAGGAGTGAAATGCTCTTGGCTGAATGCCCAGAAGTTCAATTAAGCCTATAAAGAGCTTTCCCTTGCTGCTTGTCTTTCTGAGGTTATTGGGGGCTCTCCGAGCCCTGCAGAGTCTTAGCTAGGGGATCTCCTGAGCAGCCCATCCCTATAACTAGAACTACATGCACCCCCGCCCCCCTCTCTCGACTCCCTTTGCAGCTCCAGCTGCCCAGAAAAAAGACAATGGACATGAACATTCAAATCCATTTTTCATCTGCGAAGCAATTAGCGACTACTACGGTTTCCATGTTTAGTCAGACAAACTCTTTACATAACATATGTACTGAAAAGAAAGACAACCAAGACTATAAATATGCAGATTTGATTAAAAAAAAAAAAACAGAATTAGGAGGGGGAAAAAAACTCTTTCTTCCTTATTGTACTCTCAGCCAATCTAAGAAAACCACACCACGTTAAAGGTAAATTATCTGAAGGGGTGGGGGGGAACCTTAGCCTTCCTCACTGGTAAAGGCAGTAAAACAATGCATTGTAAAATGAAAAAAAAACATCTGTAAGATTACTTACCCACTGTGTCACATGGCTCATCCTTATGGACACAAAAATCTGTCCTGAAAACAATAAATCATAATTAGGCACATTCCTTAAAAGGATGAGATATGGGCAGGGGTGGGCTTCAAAATTTTTAGCAAAGGGTTCTCTGCCTGGTTTCTGGGTGGGCGTAGCCATGGTGGGTGTGGCCTAATCGGCCTCCTGCACCATGGCGTGTGTGTGTGTGTGTTTTTTTGCCCTCCTCAGGCTCCGGAGGCTTTTCATGAGCCTCTGGGAGAGCGAAAATGGGCTCCCTGAGCTCCGGAGGCTCTCTGGAAGCTGGAAATGGGTCCATTTCCAGCCTTCCTGAACTTCTGGGAGGCCCGTTTTTTACCCTCCCCGAGCCTCCACGCACTCCCTGCGCTTACCTGCATCCAAAACGGGCTGCGTAGGGACTCTTGGGAGGGGAGGGGAGAGGGGCAGCCAAGAGTGGGATTTGGAGGTTCTCTGAACTGCACAGAATCTTAGCTAGAGGATCTCCCCAACCCCTGCAAACCCCCAGCACCCCACCCCTGGATATGGGTTGTATAAATGGAGACACATTTCAGAGTGTCTATCACCTACAAGCCGCTAATGTAAGATATTGCACTTGGGGAAGGTACACTTATTTTCATTCATTCACCCATCCATCCATTCATTCACTCATACATATTATTTTCATGTTCCATTTTACAGTGAAGTCCTTCACTTACAACTACCCTAGAAATGTTCATCACTAAGCAAGGTAGTCGTAAGTGAGTTGTGCCTGGTTTTATGTAGAAGGAATGGCAGAACCTGGGGGCGGAGTGAAAAGAGGAATAAGCCTAGAATCCCTACATAGCCACAAAGGAAATCAATCCAACTACCCTTCAGTGATGTTGACCCTCATCTAACCAGGTGCCGATTTTTAATTGAAAAGATCCCCGTGCATAGGATTTTAGCAATAATTCAGCTTAATGGAGCCTTCAAGGGTGGATCTGGTCTTTCGCATCTGACATTTTATGACCCTTTTTTTGTGGTTGTTAAGTGAATTACCATAGCCCCTTCATTATGGCCACTTTATTCCTTTCTTTCTTCCCAAGCCTCAATCATCTCAAGGTTTCTCTTTCAAGTCAGCCATCAAGGACGATTTACTGCTGGCAGAAGTAGGACAAAACTCTAACCTTCTACCATTCTAAGCACAGAAATTCTGGGCTGCTTTACTTGCACCTAAAAGCTTGCAGTACAAAGTTGGCCACAGGGCCATCCACGGCCTCCTCCTTTTGACCCAGCTGGCAGTATCGTCTTCGCAGGAATGGCCAGACTCAGCTTCACAAAGTTTATTCAAGGACTAGATGACATGATTATTATATAAACGGGTAAATTGAGCAGATGCTTTCAGTAAAAAAAAAGGGGGATGGGAGGTTTCAGCTGAAAAAAAAAGCTGCTTTCTCAAAAGGGAATTTCTAGCTTGGCGAATGAAAACACAGCCTATCTCTTGCAGGACGATGGATGACAAGGGGCTGGTCGTTCCAGGTAATTCCATGGGTTCAAATTCCTTTCTCTAATGCCAAGGCTCCCGACAGTAAAATAGGGCAGAAGCAAAAGCTATTGATGCCTGGAGAAACCCCAAATCATCTGTCCATGCCAAGGGCCCATCTGGGAACAATTAAAATAGCAGCCGAAAAGGAAGCATAAGAGGAAAATGCTGGCAACGGATAACCAATCATTGTTTAACTTAAGGTGCAGAAGCTGAGGTTGTCCCCTTTCTAGTCTCACCTCAAGTAAAATAATAACATAACAATAACAATAAGAAGAAGAAGAGGAAGAGGAGGAGGGGAAGAGGAAGAGGAAGAGGAAGAGGAAGAGGAGGAGGAGGAGGAGGAGGAGGAAGAGGAAGAGGAAGAGGAAGAAGAAGAAGAAGAAGAAGAAGCAAGGATATAATTTTTATAGATAGCTTTAATAGGTAATAGGTACCTAATATATACTCTATTATACTATGAAGAGGCCTGGTGGTTGCAGTGGTTAGCATGCAGAATTGCAGGCAAACTCTGTCCACAGCCTGGAGTTCGATCCTGATGGGGTTCAAGGTTGATTCAGCCTTCCATCCTTCCGAGGTCGGTAAAATGAGGACCCAGATTATTGGGGGCAATAGACTGACATTGTAAAACCACACAGAGAGGGCTCTAAAGCACTATGCAAGTCTAAGTGCTATTGCTATTAACCAAAGTACCATTCTTGCAGCTTCCTTGGATTCTCCATCTTATTCCCAGTGGGAACCCCACAACTTCTGATCATGTTTGAGTTGATTCAATTCAGTGCTGTGTTCTTTACTTTCTAGCTTTTAGTTATTTGGATGTGCATCGTTGTTTTCTCAGGAAGAATGATTGGCAAAACTCCTGTATTTTTGCAGGTTTAAAGAAAAATCATGTCACCATACTACAAAAAAGATGTTGAGACTCTAGAAAAAGTGCAGAGAAGAGCAGCCAGGATGATTAGGGGACTGGAGGCTAAAACATAAGATGAATGGTTGTAGGAACTGGGCTTGGCTACCTAGTGAAGAGAAGGACCAGGGGAGCCAATATTTGAGGGGCTGCCACAGAGAAATGGGGGTGAAGCTATTTTCCAAAGCACCTGAAGGCCAGACAAGGAATAATGGATGGAAACTGATCCAGGAGAGACTCAACGTAGAAACAAGGAGGAATTTTCTGACATTAAGAACAATCAACCCATGGAACAGAAGTTGCCTTCAGAAGTTGTGGGAGCTTCATCACTGCAGGCTTTCAAGAAGAGACTGGACTGCCATCTGTCAGAGATGGTGTAGGGTCTCCTGCTTGGGTGCGGGGGTTGGACTCGATGACCTACAAGGTCCCTTCCAACTCTGTTTTTCTATTCTACAATATGAAGCTTTCATTATGGTTATGAGATGGCAAGCCTCACATCAAGAGCTTTCAGTGGCACAGGTCCCAAACACCAGCAACACCATGTCATTCTACAGTTGAAAGACTCGTGGAGAGAAATTTCCTAACAGTGAGATCAATCAACCAGTGGAACGGCTTGCCTTCAGAAGTTGTGGGTGCTCCATCCCTGGAAGTTTTTTAGAAGAGATTGGACAGCTACTTGTCTGGAATAGTGTAGGGTCTCCTGCTTGAACAGGGAGTTGGACTAGAAGACCTCCAAGGTCCCTTCCAATTCTGTTATTCTATAATGTTCTATTCTGCTAAGTCACTGTGTTGCTGCAAGATGTTGGCTCTGTCTGTTGTACGATCCAAGCAGGGGTGGGATTCTACCAGTTCACACCTATTCGCTAGAACCGGTTGTTAACATTCGGAGAACCAGTTGTTAGAAGAAATTACTGGCCTAATCCTGTAAGGAAGGCAGGAAGGAAACATTCTGGTGTTGCTTACAGAAACTGCCTCTCCATTAACCCTTATTACATTCTTGGCAGGAAATCTATTCCTGTCTCTGGAACTTCTCTGGAGTTTTTTTCCCCTCCTTTGCTGGTACTTTGCTTGTGTGGAGTGACCATTCAAAGTTACAATGGCACTGAAAAAAGTGACTTATGACCATTTTTCACACTTACAACTATTGCAGCATCCACACAGTCATGAGAGACCAGGCGAGGAGATGCGTGCCTCAATGTGAGTGATATTGAGTTGGCCACACCCACCCAGTCACATGACCACCAAGCCACGTCCACCCAGTCACATGACCACCAAGCCATGCCCACCACCTAAGCCACACCCACAGAACCGGTTGTTAAAAATTTTGAATCCCACCCCTGGATCCAAGTAATACTTACTATGCTAGACTGAAGGAAGCCCTTATGACTTTATGACCAACAGGCCAAAAAGAAACTTTCCCAAGGTGAACAGAACTTGGCTTCCTTTTTGCTGAAAAGAATGCTCCACACAGGAAAACGAAGAAGAAGTGTTTTTAGAGGTCAATCGAAACCAATGTCTGGTTTTGGTTACAAACAGGCAGAGAGAGAAATCTAATGTTGAAGATCCAGGTTGTTGTTGTTTTTTTTCCCCCCCTTTGGCTTAGCCATTCCATGCTGGACACAGACATGCTTTTGCATCCTTTACCACTGGTCCACATCTGTACCATCTGGAGTTGATACACACACACACACACACACACGCTGAAAGACAGCACTTAAGCAAAGAAAAAAGCACAAACATTGAATTTCTGTGCCCTAGGAACCAAAACAGCTGAGCCAGGAGATTGTACAACCGACAATTGTTCCCGGTCTTTTCCCTCCTTTAGCGGAGGGAAGTTGTAACGGGATGGGGGTGGGGGGGAGAAATGGGGTTATATAGGAAGAGAAGGGTTGTGAGAATCCAGGGCCAGCTTATTTTGCACAGTGGATGTGGTTTTACCGAAGCCTGGCCTCTGTACGCTTCCTAATTTTCTCACAATACACACTAATCTTTTCATTTATCCAGTCCAGTTCTTTCCATGGCTGTTATTGCTAGCATCTGCCCCTCTAAATCCACCTTATTTGAACAATTTTCCATCCCTTTCCCCTGCTTGACCAGGTCTAACACATGTGGAATTTCATTGGATGCGTCCAGGGTGGGGAAAGAGTAACGAGTATAATTTCAGGCCTTTACAACACCCTCCACCCTGAGGCTGGGGGGGAAATTCAGAAAACCCAATCCCTTTTTTGCTCCGAAATTTTGAATAAAGGTAGTCCTCGACTTAGGACCACAATTGACCTCCTAAATATCTGTTCCTTAGCAAGACATTTGTTAAGTGAAACGATCTTTCTTGTAAATTTGTTAAGTGAATCCCTGCACTATGGCCAGCAGCTAGAGCAGTCATTATGACCTCATGTCTGTAATAGCGTAGCCGAAATAGTACGTCTGTGGTTAAGGGTTCCAGGATCCAATCTGAGTTGGTTCACTGGGACCAAAAGTTTACTCTTCCAAGCTTTCAGGTTCGTGCAGGAGCCCATCCTCAGGGAACTTGAATACTCTGGAGAGAGAGAAGTTCCATGAAGATAAACTTGGAAAGTAAACCTTTGGTCCTGCTGATCAGATGGGATCCTGAAACATTATCCTGGGACACGTATAGTTTACCTTTATTCATGAAACATTGCAATCCACTTTGGAGACCCTTAGCAACTTGTTCAATGGCTGCCTTTAGATCTAGACCTAACTCTTCCTAGTAACAGACAGGACCACAGTAGAAATCGTTCACTCAATCCAAATTCACGCCATACCTTGTAACAAAGACAGCAGCATCTACTGGAAGAGTGTCATCTCGTGCTCCGGGAACCTGATTGTTCCCAAGGTACTTCGCACCCCCAAACTCTTCATTTTGCCATTGGCAAAAGCTTTCCAGGGACCTCTCTCCATGGTGACCTATGGACAACCTGGCCTTCAAAAAAGAAGGGGGGAAAAAAGCAGGAGAAAGAAGTAAAGCAAAGATGAGAGCCACACATATGGTAAAGTGTTACTGAAGGTCACCTTGAGCCAATAATAGACTATGGATATTTTATGTTTTATAAATCAAGTCATCAAGCTTTTGTCTGTTAAATTAAAAAAATAAAATTAAAAAAGTAACTCAGCCATGCTCATTAGAGTACCTAAAGGAACATTCTGCAGTGGCAATAGCAATAGCACTTAGACTTATATACTTTACAGCCCTCTCTAAGCAGTTTACAGAATCAGTTTCTTGCCCCCAACAATCTGGGTCCTCATTTTACCCACCTCGTAAGGATAGAAGGCTGAGTCAACCTTGAGCCTGGTGAGATTCGATCTGCCAAATTGCAGGCAGCCAGCAGTCAGCAGAAGTAGTCTGCAGTACTG